TATAATTCAAATTATACAGACACATATTTAAGCATATTGAACTTGAAGTATGCGTAATATGTGTTTATTTGAATAATTAAAAATCTTCTGTCACTGAGCTCTTGGAGTTTTCAAGGGTTGCATGTGAGAGGGATGAGCACTGGTTCCTCCAACGGCTATGCTTTTATAGAAAAGTGAAAAAATGATTGTCAAAAGAAAGCGAAGGATAGTATAGGTGTACTTTTCTCATTGGACTTCATTCCTTTCCTTCCACTGTGTCCACAAAACCCCCGTTAAATATGATAACTTGTTCCTTAATCATTGCGACAGCAGAGAGACAGTGTTAAAGGAGTAGATATTCAATATGATGAATGACACCATTAATCATTTTGGGGCACTCTTATCTCTTCGGGCACTTTGATATTGAAACTCTAATTTATTCTAAGTGCGCATTTGATTTTTCCTAAGCTAGAAATCAATTTCTCAAAGTTTATTTAATAAAAATTAATTTAATAAAAATTAATTGCTGTAATAAAAATTATATTTAGATTTGTTAAAAAAATCAGTTTAATGAATTAAAAGTTGTTTGGATTATATACAATAAAATATACTTTTGAATGTATAATTATAAAAAAATTAATTTATAATAATTTATAATTTTTATTATATAAATGTAATAATATTAAAAATATTTAAAAATGTGATAACAAATTTAAATAACATAAAATTTGGTATGTTAAATAATAATATAAATTTGATATGTTAAACAATAATAATGTTTTAGGTTTAATATATATTTATTAAAGCTAATTTTAAAAAATTTTAATAGCTAATCATGTATATAAATTTTTAGATTTAATATATATATATATAATAGAATCTTAGTGGTTTAACATAATTTTTTTAAATAAAAAGTACGAACAAATCATAGAAAATAAAAATTCCAGCATATAATATTTTTTTGGGCGAAATAGGTTTAGTTAATTTGACTTATCAATAGTTTTAATATTTAAACTCAAAATATTTGATTTATTATATGTTTCATATTTTATTGTTTTCTAAGATCATTTAATTTTTTCATGTAATTAACAATTCAGGTTGTATTTTATTAATATTTATTACATTATTATATTTTTGTAAAAGACATTGTATTTTTCAAGATAGAGAGAAGCTCAATACAGTATATGTTTGTCTTCAAATGCCAAGCAGTCAGAATTATATATGTAACAATGATTTTGCCTTGCATTCCAAATGTACATCTTTAAAATTCCAAATATTTGAGTTGGCTAAATTCACTTCAAAACTTATTTGGATGTGGTTTCAAGAAAGTTTTTTTAGATAAGAAACTAAGAAAGTATGCCCAAACAACTTTTAGGATATGAAAAATTTAAAAGTGCTTTTCAAAAGTAGGATGTTAATTTTCCAAACAAATCCTAAGTTTCTCATATAAGCCTTTTTTTTTTTTCTTCCAAATCAATCCTTAGTGTCATGGGTTCTTTCTTCATTCACAATTATCATAATCTCTTCATTCAAAAATATAAGATATTTTTAACTAAATCTTACATCTTAATAAAGTAGTTACTTCATTTCAAATTAATTTTATCTTTTCATATTTACCCCTATTAAATACTCTATAATATATATAAAGTTACTATCAATAAAGATACTTTTAAAAAAAATACAATAATTATATCTCAAAAGACTAAAAATGCCATATATTTTTAAACATTCAACTCCTCAAAAAATATCTTGTATTTTTTAATGGAGGGAGTAATGTATATGGTCCTACATGTTTTTCCCAAGCACAAAGAACCCTGATGATAATTTTTTTACGAGGAGTTTTTAACTTTGGTCATTGAATTGATTAATATATTAATTTAAAATTTATTAGTTGAATAATCTGTTATAATTAAATTAATATTTGTATGTGTGTATATATATTAATATACATAATTAAAAATAAAATAATTCAAGGATAAGGCATTTTATAATTTAGCATTCAAATTCAAAAAGTCAAATGACATGTATAATCATAAAATTATAAATAATGGATAGAAATTATTTTTTAAAAAAATTTCTAATAATTCTTATAATATCAATTACAAAAAACTTAGCGTGAGAATTTTATTATTATTATTATTATTATTATTTTCTCGGTTCTTTGGTGATGTGACTGGTGACTTGTAAATGCTAAATAGGTGAGTGGAGGGAAGGACAAGCTGACACGCAAAGACGAAGAGTGGACGCATGGAATGGGCAAATGGGGGGACACAAGCTTTTAAGGGAACTATAAATTAGACAGGATGATAGTCAAGTTTTTTAATTTTTTGATAAGTTAAAAATATTGATTTAAGTAATTATAAATTTAAGTTTTAAAAATAAATTTTATTATATTTGAAAATTTTAATAATAATATTTAAATTAATATTTATAATTTATTTTAAAAAATTATTTAAAAATCTTGCAATTGGTAATTTAATATTTTACAACTTAATTGTTATTCTTTAAAAAAATTGTTATATGACGAAAACAGGAAAAAAAAATGAAAAATTGGTGAAAATCATAGAGGGACATAAAGTTTTTCTTTTTCTCTCTTTCTCATCAATGTATCACATCAGGTCAAAAAAAAAAAAAATCAATGCATCATATCAGGTCCATCTTCTTGATGAGTACCTCACCATGAAAAAATTTATGCCATCCAAATTTAATTTTTGGATTGAATTTAAATGACTAAAATTAAAATCAAATTTAATTGTTTGAATTAAATTTAAATGACTCAAATTTTTTAATTTTAATTTTATTAAAATAAAGAATTTATAAATTTTTTATAAATATATTCATTATTAATTTAAATAGTACTGATCTAATTTAGGTAATTTAATTAAATATTATAATATTTATAAAGTAACTATTTGTATGTATTATTGACAGTCCAGATTTAATATTAATTTTTTATCTGTAAGGTTTGGATTCAGTTTTTTTATTTTTTATTTTGATTTTATATTTATTAAAATAAAAAAAATTATTAAAAAATTTAACATTGATTTTGTATTGTCTGAAGTATATCTAGATAGTTAATTTTATAAAAATTATAATATTAAATTGGACCACCTAGATTAAATCAATACTGTCCAGATTGGTGATGAACATATTTATCAAAAAAATTTATAAATTTTTATTTTAATAAAATTAAAATTGAAATTAAAATATTCTAGGCCATCCAAATTAAATTTGCTAGATAGCCCAGATTTTTTTTGGATAATGAACACTTTCTGAGCACCAAAGTCGGATCTGTATCATATCATAGCCAATTCAAAAAATTGAAATTAAAAAAAATTTAGGCCATCTAAATTAAAAATACTGGGTGGCCCATATTTTTTTTTAGGTGATGAGCACTTGCTAAGCACCAAAAATGGATCCGTACCATATCATAACCAATTTATCCTTTCCCTCTTCCTTTTTTTTATCCTCTTTATTTTTTTTAATTATACTGAAAACAAAAGCCTAAAAAAGTTACACATTGTCATAGTTCATTTGAGGGGTTGATACCTCATCATCCACCAAACTTACAAGTGAGATTGGTGGATGGTTAAAGATACACAAAACTTTATCAAAACTAAAAATATTTCTACTAAAATTATTAGCATATATATTATCTTTATAAATATTGAATATTGACTGTCCAATCTCTATAGGAGAGAGATTGTGCATCAAGTATAGGAGAGAGATTGTGCATCAAGTGTGATATGGGTCAATATTTTGAAACCAATTTGTCTTCTTCAACTTTTCAGTCGAATCAGCGATGATTTGGGTCAATCCAAAATTAATCCAAAACCCATTTTGAATTGAGTGGATTTGATAGAACCAAAATCAATCCAAAACCCAGAATAATTGAATCATTTTGAACCGATTTTTTACTCTTATTTTAATTTTAAAATTTTTTATTCAATTTAGAAATATTAATATCAATTTAGTTATGGGTTATTATAGTAAAATTTTGAGGATATGATTTATTTATTGATATTATATGAATAAAAGTATAGGAAAAAAAAATTTGTTAAGCATAATTAAGGAGTGTACTCCACAGACAACAGAAAATGTCTCTCTCAAAACACTGAGAGCAACGAGTACATGGAGAAAGTTTGGAAGTCGTTGCTTTAAAAGGACAAATATGGCAAATAAAAAAATATGTATATGGAAAAAATGATAAGATTAGAACTTAATATATTATGACTAAACATAATGTTTTATTTATATTTAAATATTATTTATATTTAATTATTATATTATTGATTCTGACGAATCTCATAATTAATAATTGAGGGCCAAATTGAAAGTAAAACATGAAGTGACGGAGCCAAAATCTAATATAATATCGCAGTTGGGGGGGGGCGATAGGGGAGATTCATATTATTATTAGACCATGAGCCTGTAAGCATGGGCGGTGCTACGTGCTCCCCTTGAATTTGGAAAAAATTACAAGAAGGAGTTATATATTTTATTATTTTACACCTTTTGGTTTAAATATTTTGCACCCTTCGCCCAACTTTAAAGATGTTTGAGTTTTTATAAAAAAAAAAAATTAAACATGTTCAACTAAAACCCAAAAAAATGTTGCATCCGTAAGCCCAAGGTCTTGGCACCGCTCTTGCTTGTAAGCCGTTAACCTTTACTATTCATCTCAGTTTTTAAAATATTTTATTGTAGAAAAACTTATGCAAGTATTTGGATTTGTTTGTTTCAGACATTCAAATCCAGGTTCTGCAAATAATGGGAAAAAAAAAACGTATTTCCTTAAAATTAAAAAAAAAACACACCACTTTCATTGTGTTACTCAAACACAGGTGATTTCCATTGTTCAAAATCACCTACTGTACCAATTAAACAACACTAGTATCATCACTGAGAATATAAACATTAGATAATAATAATAAAGCTGCATCGTCTAATTTTGATCGAGACAGATTCTAGATTTCTATTCATCACTTCATGATTTTGAACTGTTTAACGAACCTAAGCTTCTAAGCAACACTGACGATCACTGTGTCTCTTGTGGAAACTACAGAAGAAGTGGAAACTACAGAAGAAGAAGTTCGACACAAGGGACAAGTAGGGTTTAACTTGAGCCATGAATCAACGCAGTGAAGGTGATAAAGATGGCCACAATCAGGAAGCAATCTCAACTTATCAGTTTCTTTATAATCCATGAAGCAGATTGAACAACATGAAGAAGAAGAAGCAGAAGAAAAAGGTTTGAAGAAACCGATCTTTTTCGCCTCTGAGTAAAAAAGCGGCTTTGAGTTTCTACATACAGTCCTTTCATGATCAGTGACGTCGACAACGCCACCGGAGTTGCTTTCCTCCCCGACGGCCAGAGGATTTGAACAAGACCAGTACCTTCGAAGGCGATCACAGGCTAAAACTAGGGTTAAGAGAAAGAAGATCACACCAAACACAAAGGAGAAATTCATCGTCATCAGATTCTGGTAGTAATACTACAGCTAGCTGATGGAGTTGAAGGTGTTTATTATAATTGTTCAGTCCATGATGAACCAGACAAAGTGAGAAGGAAGAAGAAATTGGAAGCTTGATTGACTCTAAGTTTATTTTATTAGAGGATGACTGACGTCTGCATGTCGTTTTCAGTTTCGAATTCTTTATAGTTTTTGTTAATATCTGGGTTTTCTTGGTTGGGTAAGGTTTTAGAGGATTATATTAAAATAATAATAATTTTAATATAATCCTCTAAAATATTACGTAACTCAATATAAGGTATAGTTTTGTTTGATTCAAAATATAGGATAGTTTTGTAATTATATTTTTTAAAACTATATCCATACATCATTTATTATTATTATTTTTAAAGAAATGATATATTAAAATTTTAATTATCATTATCAAAACAGTTATATAGGATATTAATTAAGGTATAATTAGAAAGATATATTTTAAAAAAATTAAAATTTCAACTAATATCTTTTAAAAATTATAAATTAATTATTAATGTCTTATATTTTTTATCTTGAGTATTGTCACCGTTTGTCTCGGAATTTTCAAAGAAAAGAGCAGGACAAACTGCAGTTTACGCGGATTCTGAATTATAGATCAATAATAGAACATCAATGATCCAACTCTCTCCCAAGTTGTGTGTGTGTGCAATTTTATAAATATTGACTTTATAAGATTTTTTATATATCTCATGTAATATTTGATTTTATGATTATTATAAAGACATTTTTCCTATAATTTCAATATTTTAAAACTATTGAATAAATGTTGCGTATTAATATTAATATTGATGGTCGAAGAATGTGACTTCCAATCCAGACATTACTTTTTTGGGCAAAGAAAAAATCCAAACTGTTTTTCAATAAAATATGTCTTGAACGCGGTGAATTATATTTTTATTAGTGAAGAAAGTCTATTACCAAATAATCCATTTGATAAAAATTTAACATATAACTCTGCAAAATCATGTATTCAAATCTTATTATTGATGTAAGGAATTTATTGATAGACAACTTATAAATATTTTTATAAATGCTCTTTGATCTTGGAAACATACTCTAGTTCTAGTGAATGCTCAAAATTCAACTCACTTAAACTTTATTTTTAAACAAGGGTCAGTAATTTTGACCCAAAAAAACAAGGGTCAATAGTTTTTTTTGTATTTGAAAATTTATAAAACTTTTAATAAATTTCTTACTTTTTATTTGGACTACTTTAGGCCAATATTAATTGGCTTGACAGTTGGCACTACCCAATATGGATAGCATACTATTTCAACATTGCTAAATCAATTGCTGAAGTTACTAAAATAAAATCAAGAATGATACAAAAATAAGCTTTCAAAAGAATGGCTTCGTAGTGCCAAAGTGTTGCCAATAAAAGTTGGCTTAGTTGGTAAATATTTGAATTATAACCATCAAGATGTGGGAAAAATCTCGCCACCGATGTGAGGACATTGTTAGTAAATAATCTAATTATAAGTATTTTTTTAAGTGTTCTTTAAACTTAAAGGCATATTCTAATCCTCATGAGTTCCTAGGACTTAGTCCACCTAATTTTTTTCATAAAAAAAATAGTGCCAAATTGTTAAGTAAACACGATTTCTTAAGTGAATATAATTTATGAATAGCTTTCATAAAGTATGTCATTTTCTAGGAGTTATTGTCGGCTAAAATGTAAGATATTTTGTAGTTTTAATAAATAATCTTTTCTTTTTTACCCCCTATATTAGTTAATGTGGGTTGAGTAATTATGCATAGAAAATTATGAATGTTAGTTATAAGGAAAAAAACTAAAAAACAATAAGCTATTTTTTTTCTTAGTATGCGCGTGATACAGGTTGAAAGTATTCTACTTTGACATTGTGGATTATATTTCTGTTTTTTTTTTTTTTTAACATTGTGGGTAACATGGATAAAGCATATAATAATCCAAAGGCTAAGAAAAAGAAGAGAACAACAAAATAAAATAATAGATGCATTAAAAAATTAACTAAAAGAACTGAAGAAAAAGACATGATAGTAGTTTGGCAAATAGCTACTTCTTTTATTTCTATATATAAGATATTTTTAACTAAATTACGTAAATTAATAAAAATTAATTATCTAATTTAAAACATAACAATATTCCAATTTCATCTCTAATTATTATAAATTAAAAATGAATCTCTTTTTTTAAAATAAATTAATGAGAGTACATATTTTTTCTTTTCAATTTAATAAAGGTATAATAGTTCATTTATTAAAAATATACTAACAACCTTTTATATTTAAGAATAAAAAAATTTTAAAAGATTTTTTATAGAGATGAAGTAGCTTGTTTCCCTTATTTTCTGTGAGTTCACACGATTGCGTTCGTATCTTGGAACTCAGTGATCATTGGCTTGCATTTATCACAATCTTTTAGTTTCTTGAGTTGGTGGGTGCTTTTTGTCTTCATTTGAGTCTAATGGGTCAACACTCAAAAAGAAAACGTCAATGAGTAATTATTTTTAAATAAACCACTTGTTCACTTTAATTTATTAAAGTTTAATTTAAGTGGCTCAAAAATTGCTTGTTGGGGTATCCATAGATAATATTTATTTTATTTTGAAAAATATTCTCCTCCTCATTCTCTTTAAAGTGGGGAACTTTTAAAGATCAGTTTTTTTAAAAAAATTTGAAACAATATTAGGAAGTCTTTTTATTTTACTCTTTCATTGTATTGTATCATTCATACTATACAAAACCAAAAATAAGTTTCGATAAAATTAAATTCTCCTTTGTTATCTCATTTACCAGACTTCACTAGCTTCATTTTCCATTCAAACATACCTTAATAGAGCTTTTTTAATTCTTATGATTATATATAAAATTATAGCTTGCAAGCGTATAGTAGGAAACTAGAATATTAATTTATGTGTTAATTTAACAAACTTTATTGAAATAACTCCGTGGTAAAAGCGTATGAACCTCTTTCTTTTTTTTTTGCCAAAGAAAATTGTATAATCCTCAAATTTTATAAAATATTTTAGTTTGATCTGTTAATTTTATAAAACATTTTTCCAGTTCATTGACCTTAGTATTGTTAATTTCAAATAATGATTTTTTTTGTCAATCAATAAATATTTAAAAGTTCAGTGTCTAACTAACAAAAGTTAATCTAGTTAATAAAGATTTGGCACATAATCTGAAAGATTGTGGGGTCAAATCCCATTGTCAATATAATAAATTTATTAATGGGTGATCTATAAATATTTCTATAAGTACTGTTTGAATTTAAAGGCATGCTTTAGCTCTCATGAGCTCTTAGGATTCAATTCATTTAAATTTTATTTTACCAGTCTGTGTAATATTTTTTTGTTAATGAAACTAATAATGTAAGGGTTAGAAATTAAAAAGATATTATACAATTAAGGAACAAAATGAGATCTTGTATATTTAAATTAAATGACCAAACTACACTTTTGCTTAACTCAGTTCGTAAAATTTGCGTATAACCTCTGTTCAAATGTTCGGGGAAATATACTTAGATATGATTTATGCAGAAAAGTTCCTTCTAAGATTCCAAAGTGTTTTTTTAACCCTTATCTAGAATTAACTCTCATGACTACTTAAAAGGAAAAAGACCTAAGTACAACCTTATTTATTTAATATATTTTTATCCAATCAAATTAAGATAAATAAATTTTAATGTGTTAATAATATTAATAATAAGATTTTGTTATAGAATAAATAATATAAAAAAATTCACTTGTCTTGATTTAATTTAAAAAAATTAAATATATAAGACTTAGTATACAAATTTTTCTCATTTTAAAATTATCACTTGTCCCCTCAAAAATTTGAATGAAAACTAAATTTAAAAAGTACTGCTGATTTTGATATCTAACAATAAAAATATGTAACTTTGAAAGATTGCACTGGTGATATTATAGAAGCAATAATTAGACCATTTAGCTTTCGGCCAAAAATAAAATAAAAAATTATACCATTTAGCCAAGCAGGTCCTATAACAAGGAGATTAAAGAGATTAATTAGTGGTTAAGGAATGTGTTGTCTCTGTTTCCTTTACCTCTAATTCTACGCTTACATGATAAGAAATATCTGTTTGTCTTATTCATAGTGTTTTTTTGGTAGAATAATATATTTTTTTATTTGATGGTGTGCTGCTGCCACTGTTTCGTATGCTGATATTGGACTTATCTGCCTTGACTGCATAAAAGAAAAAATGGCAATAAAAATTTTACGTTTTGATCCTTTAAAATGCCATAATTACTCTAAAATCTTTAAGAACTTTTTTATCATTAAAAAATTAATATAAATAATTAAATTATTCTTAATTTAGAATTTTAAATGTGAACTTACAAGTTACTACCACATTCTTACAATTTAAAAAAAAAATATAGTGAATTTTAAAATCAAACTTATAAATGGTAATTGATATTTGTAACACTTGAAAATGTCAGGATTTTAAATGCAAACTTGCGAATTACTGTTCAATTCTTGTGATTTTAAAAAAAAAAATTGTGAATCTTGAAATAAAATTTGTATATGACAATTGATATTGAATTAAAGATAATTTAATTATTTATATTAATTCCTTTATGATAGAAAAATCTTTAAAAATTTATTGATATTATAGTATTTTAAAGGATCAAATGTTATTCACATAACTCGAATGAATTTTATTGTCATTGTCTTAGAGGATAAAAGGATCTCAAAAATTATATTAAAAGACACTAAAATTATAAAAGGCACCTTTATAATTCCAGAAAGCAGAGCTTCTTTTTTTTTTTTCAATCTTTGTTGCACGAAATGGAACTTAAGTTTCTTTTGAGCCCATATGGAACTTTTGCTTTGTCTGGGCCCTTATATGGATCCTTAGGTTTTTTCGGCCGAAATTAATGGATCCTTAGTTTAAATGTTTAGATTAAAATTTTGTTTAAAAAAATGGAAAGACATAATTTTTTCGAAGAAACTTT